AAGCTACCCAGTTGGGTTCCCTGTCCATTGGTAGGGAAATGGTTAAAGAAATGATGGTACACTTAAATGTTGGCATATCAAAAGCTATTGGGAAAAAACAGTTTTTATAAAAAAACTATATTACTTGTAATATGTATATATACACACACATACTGACTGACATGGAAAGATGTTCAAAATACATGGCTAAATATCAAAAATCAAGTTACAAAATTCCATTTTTGGTTTATTTTTCAAAATCATTGTATTTAATTAATCATCAAAATTTCTTGGCCAGCCGAGTGGCTCAGTTGGTTAAGAGCTCGCTCAAGAGTGCGAGCTCTGAGCAACAGGGTCGCCGGTTCAATTCCTGGCCAGAGCTGAGCCGCCACTGAGCTGCCAACAGGTGACAGGATGGCTCAGCTAAAAAAAAGAAAAAAGAAATCATTATTTAAAAAAAAATTTTTTTCTTTTACATCAGAAGTAAAAAAAAGTTTTCAAGAATAAGCCAATTGCCAAGTGCCACTTAACTAGTAAATGACTAAACCAGGATCAGACAATGCCCATGTTTTTAATATATGAAACACTATCTTTGCCCACCAAAAATAATTCCGTAAAATGTAAAGAGAAAAGGGTTTAGAGAGTTCCAGTACAAGTTTTCTGCTATTCTGGCTTCATCAACTAATAAAACTAGACTATTTTAAATATTGGAATGGATGAATTGAATGTCTTTCAAATGGTTCTCCATAAACCTTTGGCCTCTCAGTTTGTTGATCTCCTCATACTTGGTGATTTTATTTTTCCTTTATATCTCCTCAATCATTCACTTTTATGATCACATCCTAGGTCTTGCGACCACAATAAAATGAACATCCCAGCTCCCAATATCAACCATATGCTTTAAAACAGCATTCCATACTCTTATTCTCACTTGTTCAAATACCCTCACAATCCTTTCATTCATCAGTGTTGTAAATATATTGATACTACCTCTTTCTTTCTTTTTTTATTGGGGAATTGGGGGAGGTGAACAGCGTTGGGGAATCAGGGAAGGAAAACTGACAAGTTGCTGTCCTTTTGTTCTTCAGACTAGTTGTGGAGGAGGACGTCGCTTGATTGGCCCATGTTGGTATTATCATTGAGCTCTTTCTGAGTGTGGCAGATGGGTCGCCAGCCACTGGACGGCTGCTCACTGCGGCTCTTGGCAGCTTATGCAGGCTGCCAGCCACTCACGGTGGCTTTACGGTAGCCCCACTGCAGGTTAGGCCGTTGCTGGAGACTCACAGCAGCCCAGCTCCAGGTCGAGCTGTTGTTCACCATCTTAGCTGTAGAGGGCGCAGCGTCACTGGCCCTAATGTGGGATCCGAACCAGGGTCCTGCTGCTCAGAACTGGTGTCCCAAGCCAGCTGTTAACCAACGCGCCAATCGACCGGCCCCACGCCACTCAATATTTTGAATTGAATGGAAATCCATATGTTGGAATACTGCATAACCCATTGAAAAGGATAATGTAAATGTATATCTCTCTATATTTCGACATGGCATATTTACAAACATTGTTGAGTGAAAAAAGCAGGTTACAGAACAGTAAATAATAGGAGTCAATTTTTACAAAATGAGGTTTTTTTATATTTTAAATGTATTAAAAATAGGATGGATTAATGGGTGAATATATGATAAAAGAAACAATAAAATGTTAATTGTAAAATTTAGGTGGTGGTTATATGGGTTTGCCCTGTTCAATTTTTTCGGTTTATCTTATTATGAAAATGTTCATCAGAAAATGTTGGAAAAATATATCTATAAAAATCTGTATTTCTAAAGAGTGGGTTTGGGGGTAAGAATGGAAAATTTCAGATTATATACTTTATATAAAGCAAAAGTTGTAAATGATTCTTTGACACAGTATATTCCACTTTTAGTAACTTATCCTAATATAGTCATTCTAAATGTATAAAATATAGAAAAAATATAGAAAAAATTTTATGCTTGAAATATTTGGAAACAAAAATTTGGAAATAGCCTGTCTAACAATAGGAGAATGATCATATTATGGTGTAGTAACTAGGTTCATTATAAATGATAAAGACAATGTAATAATATGGAAAGTGGTTATAACACAACATTTAGTGAAGAAAATCATGATACAAAATTTGATCAATATGATTTTTTAAAAAATAGTACACATAGACCACATAGTGTTATATGACCCAATGATTCCACTTTTAGGTAGAAATCCAAGAGAAATGAAAACATATGTCCACACAAAAATTTGTACATGAATGTTTACAGCAGCGCTATTTAAAATAGCCAAAAAGTGAAAACCCAAATGTCTATAAACTGATAAATGGGGAAACAAAATGTTGTATATCCATATAATGGAATATTATTTGGCAATAAAAAGAAATACAGTACTGATACATGTTACATGGATTAACCTTGAAAACACTATGCTAAATGAAGGAAGCCAGATACAAATGGCACATATTGTATAGTTCCATTTATTTGAAATGTCTAGATTGGCAAATCTATAGAAACAGAAATAAATTACTGGTTGCCTTTCGCTGGTGGGTTTGGGGTAAATGGGGAGTACTAATGGATATGGGGTTTCTTTGGGGGATGATGAAAATGTTCTAAAATTGATTGTGGTGATGATTGCACAATTCTGTGAATATACTAAAAAACCATTAAACTGAACATCTTAAATGGGTGAATTGTATGCTATGTCAATTATATCTCAATAAACCTATTATAAAAAAGATTTAATGGTACACAGAAAATAAAATTGGAGGAAATAATAAATGTACTGTTTTTTTATTTTTTATTCTGCTACCTTATTAAATTCATTTATCAGTTCTAACAGTTTTTTGGTGGAGTCTTTGGGATTCTCTCTCTGTAGTATCAAAAATGTACTGTTTTGAGGTGGTAGGATTATGTGTGATTAAAATAGGTTTTACTTTCCTGTATTTTCCAGTTGTTATGGTATGTTTTACTTTTATAAGGGGAAAATAAACCGGTTTTAAAAGCACCAGATGCATATTTCAGACAACTATTTAAATGTAAATAAACAGCATTACAACCATTCCTCTTAACCTCTTCGTAGGTTGTGGGTTTTATATTTAAGCTTATCATATTTTCTTAGTGATATATTATTGTATTTTCATAATATACTGGCGATATTACATTTTTTCCATAACATATGTATATACCGTGGTTTGGTCAGGAGGAAGTCATGACTTTAGGTGGGGTGTGAAGGGGAGTGTGGGAAGGGCCCTATCAACCCAGGATCCCTGTTTGTCCGGGATCAGGCCCTCGCCAACAAGGTAGCCCCCCTGCTTAAAAGCTCAAAGCCCCTTCCACTCACCGCCTTAGCGTTACCCCTACCACAGAGTCTCTTCCTGGTCTGGTCTCCTTCTTTGGTGGGGTCACGCCCTCACCTGGGGTCATAGACCCTCCCTCTCGCCCGGGTTGGAGAGTGTCACTGGCCCCACTGGCCAAGCCCTAGGACCCCGCCTTCCTCCGCCGGGGTCACAGTTCCACACGCAGGGATCAGAGTCCCCCTCACTTGAGAATGGGGTCGCCGGCCGCAGGCAGAGGTCACAGTTTCACACGCGGTAGAGTTTCGGGCCTCTAGCCCCGGACGCGCCCTCCCTCGGCGGAGGCTCCGGTTTCCCGCCCAGGAATCCCTGGCCCCGCCCCCGACGTCGGCGGCCCCGCCCCCGGAGCCATGCCGCAGGGCCCAGGGTCCCCAGCCTCTAGCGCGGAGGCGGCGGGCGCCAGGCCCGAGGTCTCGGCGTCCGAGGGCCCTGCGCCGGCGGCGTCGCCTTCTCGGGAGGCTGCGGACGACTCGCAGCCCCAGTCCTCATCGCCTTCCTGGCTCCCCTCGCGGCCGCCGACCGCGAGCCCGGCGGTGGACGGGTCGCCGCTGCGCCCGGCCGCGTGGTGCGGGATGTCGGCCGGCGCGGTACTGGAGGCCGGCCTGGCCCGGGTTCTCTTCTACCCGACTCTGCTGTACACAGTGTTCCGCTGGAAGGTGCCGGGCCGGGCGCACCGCGACTGGTACCACCGCATCGACCACACCGTGCTGCTGGGCGCGCTGCCGCTGCGGAACATGACGCGCCGGGTGAGCCGGGCCGGGAGGCCGGACCGCGTCGGGCTTGGGAGCCGGGCGAGTGCCGCCCGGGCCTCGGAGGCCGGTTCTGAGCCCCCTCTTTACCTCGGCAGCTGGTACAGGACGAGAACGTGCGGGGGGTGATCACCATGAACGAGAAGTATGAGACCAGGTTCCTGTGCAACTCCTCAAAGGTGAGGGGCCCCGGCCCGTAGGGGGGAGCTGGGGCGGGCGCGCCGGCCAGCCTCGCCCACCACCTGGGGCCTGCGAGAGCCGGAGGAGGTCGGGGGAGGGGCGCTGCAGGTGACCGTGCCCCGGAGGCTGGTGTCCCAGGCTTTTTTGCCTCCTCAGGAGGAGGGTCTGGTACTCGAAGCTTAAATGGCTGCGGCTGGAGATAGAAATTGTGAAATAAAAACTGTTGTTGCCCTAGGCATTCAACATGAAGGCCCTATAAACTCTAGAAGAAAAGCTACCCACCCACCCCGCAGAATAAATTTATCCTAAAACCACCCATCGAAAAACTGCATAGGGTTCATTTGGCTCTGATTTGTGGGAAATTTTATTCATATGTTAGAGACATAGTGGAATTCCAAAGTACTGTCATAACGAAGTTCGGGCCTTAAAACAAAACTTTCATTAAATGCGAATGCCTGCTTGTGGAACTCTCCACAGCGGCTATTGGACATTACCCTATCTTTATAGTGTTTGACATCTGTTAGCACTATACAATTATCTTTCTGGTTTACTCTGATACAGCCGGATGAATATGCTGTTATTTCAACCTGTAGATTTTTTGAAACCTTAAAAAATATTTGTGACTCACATTTAAAATATATTGTTTAGCGATGGCATACGTTTTTAAGGAATGGACAGCAGTTCCTTGGATTTCCCAAAGTCCTTTGCCACAAGGTCTCGGGAGCTATTAGCCAAAGTGGTAAATGTTCCTTAGTGTGGTCAGTCCTGTGCAGCAAGAGGAGTCAAAAGATGCTTGGTCTCTGGATGTGAGGCGCTGGCGTTTGGACAATGCCGCTACATAATCCCACTGGCCTAGAGAAATCTCCAAGGCAGTGGTTCTCACATTGTAATATACCTGAGAACTATCTGCCAGTCTTGTTAAAATGGCAGATTCCCAGGTACAACCCCCAGAGATTCTGACTCAGGAAATTTAGGGTGGGGCCCAGGAATCTGAATATTTAGCAAGCTCCTCAGCTGTTTCTGGTGTCATTGAAGCATAAGCTGCATGCTACAAAACTGTTATTTGTTAATTTCATCAGCATAAAATACTTTCATTTAGAGCCATAAAGTCTCTGGTTCTAGCTAAGGAGATTAATAACAAGAGTACCTGGAGCCTATCTGAAGTCTTAAAGCCAAAAAGAAAGCCGTTGCCCACTTCATCAGAGGCCTTATTTCTCCTATTTGTTATTCTTTTATTCTTAAGTGATAATATTGCACTAGCAAAGGTACATAAATTATTTTAATTTTAAAATAAATATTTTCTACCACATGCCTGCTCAAGAAAAAAGTGGTGAAAAAGAGAAGATTTACGGACAGAGAAATGAAAGCTCTGGCAAGATATATTGAATTGTTGGAAAAGTCATGACACATTTTTGCAACAAAAAACAAAAAATACGTCATGACTTTTCCGACAACCCAGTAGTAGTCTGACCCTGCAGCTAGATCACTACACAGGCACCAATTATGCAAAAACACAGTTGCACAATTTTTGGCAGGTGAATTTTATACAGCTAATATTTTGCAGCTAAAGATTCAAATACCCAAAGGGTACTTTAAGGACACTTTAAATATTGGACATAATTCTAACTCAGCAGCACAGCTATTATTTGATGAAAGACCAACCATGTAGGTCAGCCATTTGAAAAAGATTTCTGTAAGAAGTTTGTTTAGAAAACAGTAAACAGTATATTTACATTGTAGTAAGCCCTGAAGCTTCCTTGTTGCTTTGCTGCCTCTTGGGAGCCCATCTTCATACCACTAACATCAGGCTTTTTTTTCCATTCTCTTTTTTTATGCTGATGGACCTGGTTCCAGGAGTGGAGGAGGGTAGGAGTTGAGCAGCTGCGACTCAGCACTGTAGACATGACTGGAATCCCAACCTTGGCTAACCTCCAGAAAGGAGTCCAGTTTGCTCTCAAGTACCAGTCACTGGGCCAGAGCGTCTACGTGCATTGTAAGGCTGGGCGCTCCAGAAGTGCCACTATGGTGGCAGCATATCTGATTCAGGTAGGAAAGGTCTTTCTGGACTGTTCCCATTTATAGCACGTTTCCAGAACTTCAGTAGCATGGTCTCCTGGCAGGCCTTGCTGGAAGGAGTCATGTTCCCAGTCTCAGGCTGCTGGGAGGTGGAAGGCATCTGAGCATTGTAGATAGGCAGATCTGTGGCTTGGCCACCTGCCAGCTATGCGACTTAGGCAAAGGTGGCTTCCCCTCTCTGGTGCTCAGTTTCCTCCTCAAACTAAATGTACTATGAAGCTTGAATGAGAAAGTACGTCGAGCACTGACCTACAACAGACACTCAAAAAAGTGGAGTTGCAAAGGATGTTACCACCAGCAAAAGGCCAGAAATACATGTTATAAATAGCATGTCAGGAAGTCCAGTACTGTAAATAGTGCTGATCACTTACAGCTCTGAAGTACTCAGATTTCAAGTATTTTGGAGTAGAGTTCTGGACGTTAGTTTCTAGAAACAGAGGACCCAATGGAATTTGGTCCATTTGTATGGTGAGCAGGTGGGATGCTTTTAAAATTATTTAGAAGCAATACTGTAGTAGTCCATCATTCCTTGTTACATGTCCCCTGCTTGACTCATTTTTGTTACCGATTGGTCCCTGCAGAGCATTTACTAAGTCATGTGGATAGTTTAAACAAAAAGGAAGTGTAAAAATTACCAGCCTGGCCTTGTTTGTGTTACTGTGGACTGGTGAGTAGATGGTTGAAAATACTAAAGCTTTGGTCATTTAGGGTTGTTTGCTGGAAACAGGGTCTCAGGATATTTTGGGCTGAGTGAGAATTGAACCATCAGGCTAAAAATCTATATTTTCTTGGTTCTGTTGAGTTCTAAACCATTAAGTATCCTTAGGACACAAAGCTAACCCTCTTAGTCAAATTGAAAAAGTGCTGTTTTTCTAGCCATGGTGACAAGATGCATAAAAACATCTACTCTTTCCAGGAAACTTGAAACCAACAGCTCAGTGAGGACATGTAATAGACCTAGGAAGGCCTGAATTTTGGATCTAAGCTTCACGTTTAAGCTTTTAAAAAAAAAAAAAAGAAAAAAAGATTTTGAGGAGTTGGGGGGAGGGGAACAGCGTTGGGGAATCGGGGAAGGGGAACATCCGGGTAGACAAATTGCTGTTTTTATTCTTCAGTCTAGTTGTGGAGGATGTCACTTCACTGGCCCATGTTGGTATGATCATTGTGCTCTTCCTGGGTGAGGCCATAGGTCGCTGGTCATTGGTCGGCCGCTCACAGTGCTGCAGGTAGCTCACTGCAGCCTAAGCCGTCGCAGGTGACTCACAGCAGCCCAGCTCCAGGTCGAGCTTTTGTTCACCATCTTAGCTGTAGAGGGTGAGCGTCACTGGCCCTCAATGAGGGATCCAAACCACAGCCCTGCTGCTCAGAGCTGGTGCTCCCAAGCGAGCTCTTAATCAGCTGAGCCACTCGGCAGTCCCTAAGCTTCTTTTTCTTGGGTTTGGCACGGCAAGAATTAGAAAGTCTGACTTGTCCTCCCCAGCCTGTTGCATTGTAATTTGGGACGGGTTAACTGAGGGCATTAAAGTGCTCTCCTATTTATAATATATCAAGCATGGTTTTTAACTCCCCTCAAAATGGAGTTTTTTGTTGTTGTTGTTTTTAAATGACATTCTGGAGCCCTTTAAGCACCTGTCAAGGACACCTTATACCTGCTTTTTTCTTTCTCTGCTAATTTCCCAACCCTGTACTTCAGGTATACAACTGGAGTCCAGAGGAGGCTGTAAGAGCTCTCACCAAGATCCGGTCACACGTCCACATCAGACCTGGCCAGCTGGAAATTCTCAAAGAGTTCCACAAGGAGATGACTGCAAGGGCAGCAAAGGATAAGTCATCACACATCACAGACATGAAGTTTGTGGATTAAAAAGAACTCAACAACCCTGCCGGCTACAGAAAAAAGTTTACAGAACCGAAGGGGCTTAAGCCCAGACTTGACATAACAGAAATGTACTAAGGAATGGATAATTTTGTTTTCTTTGTCATTTCATTTTTCTGAAATAACACTGTGGTATGACTAGAAAGATTTAGCATGGCTTCTATTCACAGGGTATAGGGAATGGGGGATAGAGATGAGGTTGCCTTACTTTTTAAATAGAAATCTATTCTTAAAAAATCTATTCTAAAAAGAAATCTATTGTGTACCTAATGTTGTACCTGATGGTATTTAGCACCATACCTCAAAGGCATTTAACACTAGGCAGAGAGAAGAGAAACACTCAGCTCTGGCTCTTTGCCACGGGTTCCTCAATTCACTGGCCCCTCAGTGGATTGGAGCAGTGATCCTGTGTGTAGAAAAGGAAGTATGGGATTCAGTCAGTATTGCAACTGACTTAGAAATGTGTTGGGCATTTGCTTAGTCTCCCTGAGGAAGTCACCCCTTCAGAATTCAAAACAGACACACATATCCCTTCAAAAACTTTTATTTGTATGAACAGTTCCTAGTTCTTGACTTGGCTTAGAACTTTAAAGGAGACTTTAAATGTTAAGAGTTTGAAAAACGTTTCTGCTATTAATTAAACAATCCTTTCTACTTTTATTCTGGCTTATCCCTTAGAGTAAGCCAAAAACATCAAACCAGAGTATACACTTCCTGACAGATGAGAAAACATTAGACTGAATGTCCCAAATTCTAGAGTTGACTCTTGCTGGTGACAGACACCTTCAACTTAGCCCCTTCTCCCAAACCAAGCCTGAAGGAAAACTCTTTTAACACCTAAATCTTTGTGGAAAAATGACCAAGAAGCCACTTTGCAGGCTATAGATAAAAAGACTGGGCATCTTTCCTTCTGTCTTGGGGTCAGGGGTGCTTCTATTTAACATTGATCAGGTAAAGAGGGGAGGCTGTGCCTAAGATCTAAGAAGGCTTGCTCTAAGCCACCTCCGCTGAGGCACAGGATTACCAGGAGATGGCAGAGAACAGGCTGGCCTTCTCTCTGTTCAAGCAGAGCAACAGCAGTCTCAAAAGACCCAAATGGGCCACCCCTATGGGTTCAGAAAAGGGCTGAAGGCTGCCTTTTGAACATGTGCCAAAAAATAACAATACTCTGAACTGGGACCTTGGGGACTTCAAGTTTGGATGGGTAGGTGCTGGAAAAGGGGAGGACAAAAGTCAGCTGCTTTCCTCCTCACAGCCTTAGGCCAACACAAACTGCAAATTGGTGAGAAGCACTTTAATGCCTGTGGTGACAGTTACAGCTGAAGTGGCAGGGTCAAGCTTGTAGGTGTTGGCATCCCCCTTTTTATATCGGTCCCGAAAAACATAAATGCTCCCGTTACAACTGGCAATCTTCCAGAGGGACGGGGCAGAGCTCCAGGCCTCAGGAAGGCAAAGCCGCGTGAAGCTGTCTAGCAGGGGATTATAGCACACCAGGGAGTCCCCTTCAGCCACGATGAACACCAGATCCTTATGCACAGCTGCGTGCATGCGGCCTGCGAAGGGCAGCACATAGGGCTTCACATGGCACTTGTCTGTCTCGGTATCAAAGCACTGGATGAGTCGGGAAGGTTTAGTAAAGAAGTCCAGGTCACTCTCCTCCCCCCCTAGTAAGTAGATGATCCCATTGAGGTTGGCTCCAGCGGCCCCTGACACAGCCACCTCTAGCTGCGTTGTCTCTGTCCAGACGTTATCACCTACCCGGTAATAGATAACTGCATTGGAGAGAGTATCTTGCAGGGTCTTGCCACCCAGTGAATATATGGCATCTTTCCCGGGCACAGATACCAGGGTATGCTGGAGCCGGTCCCGAGGCAAGGGTGCGCACCACTCCCAGTCCACGGTGGCATTGTTGCACTTCCACATGCGCCGTGGGATGGACCCTCCCACCACGTACAAGTCTCCACCGTGCTTGCAGGCTGCAGTGATCTGGTGGCACAAGCTGTTTTGGCCACTTACACTGATGGAGTCATCTTCGGCACAGTGCAAGGAAACAGCCAACGAGTGGGTACGAGATGACTCTTTCCCAATCAGATAAATGTGCACATTCTCCCCAATTTCCTATTGGCAAAATTAGAAATGATATCGGTTCTAGGCTAAAGCTCAGCTGAGACGCATGTCCTTAAGGCCCTGGAACACATATCTTGCTCTAACCTATTCCCCTCTAGTTTCTGTGTGTCATCCTGCCTCTCCTCCAATCACTCTTTCAGGCATTTTAAGCTGGGGCAGAGAATCTGTTGCACTCATCCTTTCAGCTTTTTAAAAACTATCATGAGTTGGTGCTTCAGACAAAGGGTGCTCAGGATTGTTAATGCAATGATGAAAGTAGTTATCTCAAGGAGCTCTGGAGCCCAGAGGCTGGTGGCTTTTGGGCTCACGCATCTATCCTCCTCCCCAGCTCTTAACAACTTCAAGCCAGAGACCTTATTCACCAGCCATCAAAGAGGCCAGGCCAATTGATAGCTATGATGCATGGCTATTATTGTCTCCCAACCCTAAAGAAATCTGCCTTACCTTCAAGCTAGTCCTGAGTGACTCTGCAAAAGCCTCTCTTTCCTCTTTATTAAAATTGATCCAGGCCTCTATTGCCTCTGTTGGGTTCTGGGAACATGGAACTCCATCTGTGAGAGCCAGAGGAAAGGCATGGTCAATGGCAATCTGACAATCTGAAAGGGAAATTTAGAGCCAGAGGCTTTAAAGATGTGAACCACTTTGTTAAACTACCACCTTGAATAATATGTGTATGTGTATGAGAAATTAACCTAAAGTTGCCTTGTTTCTTGTAATCAAAATGGATGGCTTGATAATACTCCCATTTGCCATGGAAGCAATCTACTAAGCTGCAGAGATCACACCTAAAGTATGGTTATACCCCACTTGCAGGCAGGGTCAGGATTGTTACCTAAAGTTGGCCCATCACTTAAAAATTTTTTTAGGTATCTTGGCTCATCCGTCAATAGTTTACTTAGGTAGCTAGTTTCACAGGTACGTGCAAAGTGCAGGATGGATGTGAGCACACTTAATGCACAGGACAGATCAGAGTATAAATACAAATAGTTCCTCACTACCTTTTGTGGGTAAATGCTGCTGCTTTTATTTTCCTGGCTTCTTCCTCAGTAAGGGACTCTCTCTGAAAATAGCTGCACTAAATCTCAATTTAATTTCTCTCAGAAGGGATCCAAATCCCTACCAATAATACTGTAAACTAACAGGAAGCCTGAGGGTTCCTTTCTCCTGAACTAGAGTATCTGCTGAACATCATACCCAAGTAGCTGGGTATGCTATGCCCCCTTCCCTCAACTTACCTGAGATGATATCAGTGAGGAGATGGTGGGGCAAATGGAGAAATTCCTCTGTGCTCTGCAGCTGGGCCAGGTGGGCCTTGGCACAGTGCTTGGCAGCAGTGTAGAGCTCAGGATCACTGTGCCGATCTGCCAGCCACATCACCTGAAGGCAGTTGCCCACCTGCACTGTGCGGGCCAAAAACCTTGAACATTCCTCAAATAGAGATGTCAGCTGATACATGTCTGACACCTCATAAATTTCCTGCAGCTCATCAGCTCGAAGTTTCACAGTCCCATGGTAGATAAAATCAACCAGGAGCTGGAAAACAGACTCACTGACATCCTGCAGCACGATCACCCGGTTGTGGGCCTCCTTCAGGTTGGAAGTGAACATGGACCTGAAGAAGCAGCTCTGAGCTGAGAGGACCAGCCGGTGGAGCTGAAACTCCCGGCCTTCCACTGAAATGGTCACATCAGCAAAGAGCTCTTCCTCCAGACACAGTTTCATGATGCCCTGAGCCACACGGCCTGAGTGTGAACGATCTTTGAAAGTGTAGTTCACAAAGTAGTTCTCATCCATGGATGCTCCAGGCTCCTCTGGTGATTCCATGGTAGCCAACTTCTCTCTCTGCCAGCTGTCTGCAAAGCAACACCACCCTCAGCAACTTAGGGAATCCACAGCCACAGCCTATTAATCAAACCGTCCAATTCAGGGCAGGAGAAGGAACAAGTGAGAGCAAAGTGGGCCCAGATGGACCTTAGTCCTGGCCCTGCTGATAACATCTCTGACGCTTTCTTTCAACCACAGTTCGGTTCGTCTTTCTGCAGTGGCACCCCATCCGTAATAAAATCAATAAAATTTCCTACTCCAGGTGTTTCTCTGAGAAAACACTGAATATTCCTTTCCATGATGTAACAAAAGACTTGGTATTTAGGTCAACACATGAAAGCGAGGAGCTGGAGGAAGCCTATGATCTTAAAAGCCTGGCAATAAACCTTACAAATCAAATAACGATTGGGTATAAAAGTAGTTAGGCTCTGGAGAGCAGAAACAGACAAAAAAGACCCCCAAGACCTTGTGTCCAGACAGCCCCCCATCCCTTTACTCTACCCCGCTGCTCCGCCCGCGCGCGCGCGCGCATGGAGTCCAGATTCCAATATGAGGCTTGGCTGGGACATGTCAGCACCACATTTGCTCTTTTCTGAGCTTCCCCCTCGCCCTTCCCCGCTCGACGTAATGACTCCCCAAGGCTCCGTCCCAGAACTCGAGACAGAGCCCAGCCATCCCTAGCCCGAGGTACGAGGAGGCCCACTGCCACGTGCAGTGTAGCCTCTCTACCTGGAGTCACCTGGGAAACGGTCGCCAGGGAAACCGTTGTCTCCCCCTCCCCCCAATCCACCATGCCCGCCAGCCCTTGTCAAAAGCTTAGTTTAGGGAGCGGGGAGAGGTATGGAATGTGGAACCAGAACCCCCGCCCCTTCCCCTCTTCTCACCTGTCCGGTTCTTTAGGGTCCTCGCTTTCTCTCTAGCCTCTGCCACACCAAGCTAGGGCCACGTTCACCTCACTGTTTCCCTACCTGCTTGCCTTGTTTTCTCACCTGCGTTCCCTCCTTTCATTCCGAAGCCTGGATACCGGAACCTCTGCTTATGGCCCCGCGTTCGTCCGGAATAAGATATAATGCACACTTCCGCTTCCGGTCCGTGCCCTTGGGGCTCCGTGTCCTGTGGGTCTTACCTCCGCTACTTGATTTGCATCTGGGAAACATGGCGGCGGCAGCGACGAGGGGCTGGTGGCGGGGGCTTGTGGGGGCCGTGGCGCTGTCCAGGGGTGAGCAGGGGACAGCCGGATGAGGCTCGGGACAAGATCAGTGGCGCGCCCATCGCAGGGAGCCCCTCAGGACTCACCTTGCGCTCCTGTGCCTTTTGTCTCCCCGTGCAGTGGCCAGGCGACCTTTGGTGCTGCCGCCGGTGAGGAGGGAAAGCGCTGCGGCCGACACGCGCCGTGAGTATGTGTGGGCCTGGCCCTTCTCGGGACTACAGGCGGGACCCCTTCGCTCCTTTTGTCAGATGTTTGACCTTGCTCTGGGATGCCTTTCCCTGTGTCCTGGCAAATCTCTGCTTGTCCTTGGAGACCTGACTGCAATGGTCCCCACTCTGCAGGCAGAATCGGGCCCTCCCTGTGCCATTAGGCCTCTCCTATGGCGCTGATTGTCCCCTTGTCCAGTTCCATGATTCCCTTTTATTCTGGTTAAACTGAGAGCTTGAGAGCTGGAAACAACCTTCTGGACTCAGAGCCCAATGTACAACCTGTTATAATGGTAGTTTACATTAATTGAATGCTTACTGTGTGCCAGGCACCTTGCGAAGTGTTTTAGTGAATGATCTTAGTCTTCACAACAATCTTATGAGATAGTATTGTGCTCTTCATACAATAGATCAGGAAACAGCCCAGAGAAGTAACTTGCCCAGGGTCACAGTATCAGTGAATGATAGATCAAATCGGCTTGCTTCCATTACCCTGCAGTCAATGACGTGTGGGTAGTCAGTGATTTATGGTTGTATGAATGAGTGTATGGAGATATTTTACAGTCAACAGAAGCCGACTGGGAGTCATGAGACCTGGCATTTCCCCCTTTCAGGCCTCAATTTCCTCATCTATGAAAAAAAAAAAGTTTCAACTAGATAACCTGTGAGGGCTCTTAAGCCCTGAAGTTGTTTACTTGAGAAGCTGCTATGAGCCAGGTGCTAAGGAGATACACAGAAGCAAAAGTTCTGGTTCCTACTCTTAAAGAACTCCTGGTAAGAGAGCTGAAACATATGCTGCTTTAGCAGAAACGCAGGCATTGTGAAGGAAGAACCATGGAGTAGTTTTGAGACGAGGCAGATACCCCAGCTGCAGTAATGAGAGTCTTTGTGTACTGTGTATGTGGCCTGTCCCCTAAGTTTTCATCATTTCCTATTCCCTGGAAGAGGAACCCTCCACCCTTACCTTTCTCAAGGTTCTACAAAGAGCACTGCTGGGAGACAATACCCCTTTACAAGCCCAAGAGACTGGCTGCTGCCTTCACCATTCCTTTGTTAAATATGCCTTCTCCTTCCAGCCACTGTCAAACCACGGAATGATGTGTCCCACAAGCAGCTCTCAGCTTTTGGAGAGTATGTGGCTGAAATCCTGCCCAAGTATGTCCAACAAGTTCAGGTAATATTCACTACTGTTGTTTGATCTGGGACAAGAAAACCATATTCTTGGACCATGTGGAAGTGGGCATCTCGGTATCAAAGAAACCAGATTCCTCCATCCCAGCTGGGCTTCTTTCTCTGCCTTAAACTAGGAGAATCAGCTGAAGTTAGCTGTTCCCACAGTAGCTCTTTGTTGTCTCTGCCCTCCTGTTCCATGTCTGCAGGTGTCCTGCTTCAATGAGTTAGAGATCTGTATCCATCCTGATGGAGTCATCCCAGTGCTGACTTTCCTCAGGGATCACACCAACGCACAATTCAAATCCTTGGCTGACTTGACGGCAGTGGACATCCCCACCCGGCAGAACCGTTTTGAGGTCAGTAAGGAGATTTGAGGTTTGGGAAGGAAGGAAAGAGGACAGAACAGTTTTAGGGGGAGAGCTACCAATGGGAATCATAGCCTTCTTAGTTGCCATTTGGGTCAAACAGTTCAACATAGCAGTTAAACTGGGGCCTCAGAATCAGGCAGCCCTCAAGTTTGAATCCTGGCTCTGCCAGTCATAGGCTGTATGACTTCAAACATTTTGTTTAATCTTTCTGAATTTTAGTTTTCTTATGTGCAGAGGAAGTATAAAATTGTCTCCATTTCATAAGGTGGTTGTGAGGATTAAATGAAACAGTGCTAGTAGATTGTTCACACAGTTCTCAATATGTTCAACTGTTGATATTTACTGATCATATCCTGGTTGTCAGATTCTGGGATTGAGAGAGAAATAACACCTAATCCCTGCCCTCCAGAAGCTCCCCACACTCTAGTGAGGGGAAGGACACATAAACAGCTTACTGTAATAATATATTACACAAGGGATGTTAGAGAGATGGTATAAGAATGCAGGAGGGCAACTTAGCCCTTTCTGGAAGGCTGCTTTGAAGAGAGAGAGTATGTTTGTGCTGAATCTTAATGGATGACAGGAGACTAGTGAGGATTGGGGTTTGGGGAGATGGGTTTGGGAGACATCCCAGACAAAGGGAATAATGTTAACAAAGATGAGCATCCTGACATGCGTCCTACAGTGTGACCTAGGCCTTTGGAAGTAGTTGTAAGTATAGGAGGGTCTTGAGGTTTTGAGCTTCAGGACAGACGGCAGGTTCACAGGGTGGAATCCAACCCATCCTGTATCCTCATCATTGATGCTCCCACTCAGGGACTCCCACCTCAGACCCTTCAGCCTGTCGCCATCTTGGTTCTCTAGCTCCCTCTGTTCTCCTTAGATTGTTTATAACCTGCTCTCTCTGCGCTTCAACTCTCGGATCCGTGTGAAGACCTATACCGATGAGCTGACACCCCTTGAGTCCACTGTCTCTGTGTACAAGGCGGCCAACTGGTATGAGAGGGAGGTGAGTTACTGGGCATGTTGGATCCTGCCTCTGGGCCAGCATTGCAGAATTGGTTGAAACTACTGGATGCAGCACAGTCCCTCACCTGTGTTGGCCATGATGAACTGGTTGCCTGAGGGCCTCTTTTTTTCTAGATATGGGACATGTTTGGAGTCTTCTTTGCTAACCACCCTGACCTAAGAAGGATCCTGACAGACTATGGCTTTGAGGGACATCCTTTCCGGAAAGACTTCCCTCTGTCTGGTTACGTTGAGGTAGGAGCCTTGGAAGTGGGATAGCAGCCTCAGGGAGGGTCTGGCAGGGAACCTGGGGGATCCTCGGCATGGCAGGAAATATGGTTTGTGGATTGTGGTAGTTTAAGAGCATCAGCTCCAGATTCAATTCCTGGCTCCACTTTCGTAATCTGGGGCAAGTTACTTAATTTCTCTGTGACACAGTTTTCTCATCTGCAAAACGGGAACAATAATATTACTAAACTACTAAGACTTGCGGTGAGCTAAATGATTTATGTGCAAAGCTTGGTGTATTATCAATGCTCAGTTGATGTGCCATTATTGTAGTGGTCATTTTAATGGCCAGGGCAGCCTTGAGGACAGTTTGTCCCCACTGAAAGTGGGGCATCACTTTACCCTGCCCAGGATCTCTGAGAAGGGAGCTGATAAGGAAGACGCTGAGTGTTCAGCCCTTGTGAATGACCAGAGGCAGCAGCAGTAATATGACTGTAAGGGCCTTATAAAGAATTTCAGTGCTTTGCTTTATCAGCCATGTGCTGCAGGCTGTTTATGAGCAGGAGGGGGATCTAGTGTAGTCATACACACAGGTGATTTTGTAGCAAGTAAGTTTTTAGAAATGTTGAGATAGTGACAATCCAGCTCTTCTCATTAGTACCCAAATGCTCCTGTTTTCTTAGTATTTTGCCTGGTTCCATTTTCTTCTCAAGCTGCTTGTGGTCAGGGTTACTTCCCTCTCTTCTCACTACTGTCCCCCTAATCTGGTTTGCTCCTTCACCCCAGCACCTGTTTGTTCTTACCTTATCCAGTTGCTCCTCCAGTAACAAGAAAAGCCATGCCAAATTTACTGTCTTCCAAATTTACTGCCTTGTATCTTGACAGTGGTAATGCCAAGGCCATAGGGCATGAATTTGAGTGCTTGCCAGTTTAGGTTTCCTCTTTTTCAGCCACTGACTTGCTCCCTAATTCTGGCCAAGTGTTACCATTACCTTGTAAGAGTGGGTGGATGGGTGAGCACAGTCAGCTCTGCTGGAAAAGGAGCTAAGAGCTCATGATGTGGGGGGATGGTTGGCAGGGGAGCCTGTCCTGGTGATGGCAGGGCGTGAGATAAGGGCCATTTTGGACTGTGGGTGGAATGTGACTTGATAGGGGTGTGACACAGATGTGGATAGAGACTTAGTGACAGGCTGGGACAGGAGTCAAGAACAGAGACATAAAGGGGCTGGGGAAGTCACTCCTGGTCTTGGGGAAGTAGGCTGCTTACCGTAACAAGGCCTTCCTCAGTGTCCAAACCTTTTTCTTCTGCAGTTACGCTATGACGATGAGGTGAAGCGGGTGGTGGCTGAGCCGGTGGAGTTGGCCCAAGAGTTCCGAAAGTTTGACCTCAATAGCCCATGGGAGGCTTTCCCTGCCTATCGCCAGCCCCCCGAAAGTCTCAAGCTTGAAGCCGGAGACAAGAAACCCGAAACCAAGTAGTTCCAGGGAAGGCATGTGGATCCTAGAAAGTGTCTTATCTATAATTGAGTGTCCTGTAAATAAAATCCTACTTAGACTCACCAGTTCCTATGTGCCTATCATTATGAAGCTTTGACTCAGGAGAGGGCAGATGCAGGAGGGGTTTTTCCTTGTTCCCTTAGAGAGACTACCAAATCGGAATCTATTTTAATGGGACTAAATAGTGCAGTTGGAGACATGGAGACCTGCAAGCCTGGATGTATTTCTGAGAGAGGGATTCTGGAGCTGAAATCGAAATTCTCGTAGTCCACAGGGCTCAGGATGGGTGTGGCATGGCCTCCCCTGAGACCTGGAGAGGGTCCCAACAACTGCTGGAGAAAGCCCCTTATCTGGTAGTAGCTGGTGGAACCAGGGAAACCCCCCCCCCACCCTCATCCCATCCAGATAGCCACAGGGTTCCATGAGCCAATAGCCAGAGCCAGGAAGAACCACAGCTTATTTTTGAGTCTTGACCCCTGCCTCCTGCTCCCTGCAACCTGATAACCCATCACGCTTGGGCTAAGGGAATCCTCCTGGACTCTGGCCTGAACCAAGAATGTTGTAAGCAAGCACAGGTCCCAGGGCTGGAGCAAAAGACAGGAGCTGCAGATCTGTCTTCCAGGGGATAGGACTCCCTAACCCAGCTGGTCTGGGGTCTGCTCAGCCAGTGACTGAATGCCTGAGGTGGAAGTGCTTGGCTCTGCCTGTCCATGGGGCCACCCAGCCAGCCCAAACCAGGCTTTGCAGCTGATGCTCTTGGCTGCTGAGGGGCTCCCTGGAGGCTGGGCTGACCTGGGGTCAGGAGTTCAGCTCAGCTACAGGATGTTTTGGGTGTGAGGACAGATAGTAAGGTAGTGTTAACTGCGTGGGCACTTTCCTACCTCCTGGGAGGGCCAAACTATTGTAGAACTGTTTGCTACCAAACACCTTTTTTCTATTAACTAAGCATCCTGCCCATCTGGGCAGCAATAGGCTGAGGGCCTGACAAGCAGAGAGCTAGGCGCCTACTGCCAACAACGAAAGATTCCACATTTCTACAGGATGGAAAGAGCCCCTGGGAAGCCAGAGCCAGCCACTCCCTGTTTAGCACTGAAGTCTGACACGCAATGCAGGGAACGCCTGGAGCAGCCTGCCGTGGAAAGTTGGAGCCACAGTGTGTGGCAGGCGGATGCAGGACCAGAGAGCAGTTGGGGAGAGTGAGACCCAGAGGACAGGCATGGCAGGGAAAATGCAGTTCTTGGCTTGGCTAATGGTAGCCATTTGCCTCTTTCCGTGGTTGACTACATCCCAGCACCATGCAGGTACCAGGGCTTCAGGGTGGGGTGGATGGAAGCCAAGGAAGGCTGCCAGATGATGATAGTTACAGTTGGTTCTATCTGAGCCTTGCAGGCCCTAGAACTGTGGGCATGGTTGGTACCAGGCTGACCTGTGCTGCAGGGGCTAATGGTGTGGGCCCCACGCCCAGAACTGGAAAGGTCCAGGTGAAGTAAAGGGAGATAAGATATCCCTGGGTTGCCCTCAGTGCTGGCCCTGGACAGCATTGGGCCTGAACCTATTCCGGTTGATGCACAAAGCAGCACCTCTTGACCTGCCCTGGGCTTGGAGCAGTTCTTCCAAGGGCCAGGCAGCACTCTGGAGGGAGATGAAGGAAGCTGCAACAGACATCCTCCTTTGCCTGGCCTCCCTGCCTTGCACACCATCACTACTGAGGAGCAATTAAGGAGTGGGTTCTTCCCAAAGGGGTCCTCAACTTTTTGGGGAGGGTCACTGGCACTGTTTCAGGTTACATTGTCCCCAGAGGATTCTAGAGAAGGGAAGTGGGGAGTGAAGTGTCTTGTGACCATTGGCCTGGAGTTCTTGGCCAAGGGAACTGCAGAAGTTCAAGGCGGAGTCCTGGACATTTGCCGAGGTGGCATCTGGGTTTGGGATGATGATTTTGGGATCACAAGACCTATGCCCTGGAGGATGAATGTCAGTGTGTGTGTAGGGGGTGAGGGACATGGGATGGCATTCTTGCTCTTTTGCAGCTAGAACCTCTAGGTGCTCTTACTAGGCAGCTGAGGGGCACTTCTGGGAGGCTGGGCTGTTGAGGGTGGAACTTGGCAGGGGTCTGACTTCTCTCTGCTGCCCCAGGGCAGCCCATGAACAGCACCAGCGTGGGAGGTGGCCTGCAGGAGCCAGAAGCACCGGAAGTGATGTTTGAGGTCTTTCCTCCAGCTTGGGACATGGGGGTGGGAGTGTTCAGAGGTCCCTAAACTCGGGGAAGGGGGATGTCTCAAGCTGGCCTGCTGGGGAGGGGGGACAACCCAGCATGGGCCCTGCTGCCTGCTTATGCTCCCCAGCTCACTCTTGCTCCCTGCCCTGTCCCCGGGACCCCAGCCCATCCCTTACATGGCTCCCCTTGCAGCTGCTCTGGGCTGGGCTGGAGCTGGATGTCATGGGGCAACTGCACATCCAGGATGAGGAACTGGCATCCACACATCCAGGCCGCCGACTCAGGCTCCTCCTGCTGCACCACGTGCCCAGTGACTTGGAGGGTGCTGAGCAGCAGCTGCAGCAGTTCCAGGACCTGCGGAAGGGGCCTCCTCTTAGCCCTTGGGACTTTGAACATCTGCTCCTCACAGGCCTATCCTGTGTCTACCGGCTGCACAAGGCTAGCGAGGCTGAGGAGAGGGGCCGCTGGGCCCAGGTCTTTGCCCTCCTGGCACAGGAAACACTCTGGGACCTGTGCAAAGGCTTCTGCCCCCAGAGCCAGCCCCCTTCTCTGGGACCCTGGCTTTCGATCCTTGACCCCTTCCCCTGACGCTCCCCTTTCACCCGCTAGCCCACCTCCTCCCCCTTCCCCTCCCACCCCCCATGCCAGACCCACCCTGGGCAGGAGCTTCCATCTGGTACCTAGTTCTTCCCTGTGTTCAGGTCTCTGAGCTCGGCTTGTACCCTGGACCCTGGTCTATCCCTCCCCCCATCTTCTTCCCTGGGCCCTGATAAGCTAAGAGTCCCGCCATAAGGGCCCAGACAGCAGGTGCACAGCTTAAGGCAGAGTTGTGTGTGTTTTGGGGTCAGTGTATTTAAGAGATGCTGAAAGGGGAGCTGCCCCCAAGTAAGGCCAGGTCAGACCCTCCAACTCCTGCCCTGGCAGTCCGTGAGGCGTCCTGTGGAATCTAAACGGGAACCTTGTAAGAGCTCAGCCTCCAGTCCTAATTTAGATAACTCCTTTTAACCCCAGCCACGGTTCTGGGGTCCCTGAACCTCCAAGTTCCCCATGTGGACTGGGAGAAAGGGCTGGACGCTTTTAGTTCGGTCTGTTGGAGGAGTGAAGGGAAGCAGGTGGAGGAATATACCTTTTGTGTGGGGGGCCGGCGGGAATGTTTTCGGTCTATCTCAACAAGGCTCATGAGATGAACACCGCAGAGGAGGGTGTGAGGCTGGGAGGGGGCAGGCTGAGAGAGACAAGCTAAGGCTGGCTGGTATAGCCCTGATCCTGTGTAGCTCATCCTATAAAATGTTCGGTTCTGGCCTCCTGGAGCCGGTGTGCTTCCATGTTTGACCCCTGTTCTGAGCAAATCACTCTCCCTGTCCTGAGGACAGGAATCGCGGCAGCCAAGTAGCAACAGCACATCCCACTCACACACCCTAGTGGAAGAAGGAAGGTGCTGCTGTTTCTTTGAATCCATGCTCCCAGCGAGGCAGTCACAAAAAGAAATCAGCCATCAAAGGGCTCTAAGAATGACGCTGAAGGTCAGGGAGGGGGGTGGAGTCAGACAGAAGGACTGACTGGAAAGGGACAGGACGGGGAGGCCCACAACGGGTTGGGTGAGAAGGGTTCAAATTCCCACCTCCTCGCCCACCCAGGACCTGACCAAATCCTGCCCTCTGACCCCCACCCTGTGCCTGCAGTAGTCACTGCCTTCCCGCCCCGCCCTGAGACAGAAGTGTCGCGGTCAAGACAGAGGCAGGACCCTGGGGAACATAGGCGCCGGCGCAGGCCCACTTTATTGGCAGCGTCCAGCCGCACTGGGCGGGCCGTCATGCTCGCGCCGGCGGGGTGTTCGGGCCACGGGCCCCGGCTCGGCATGCACGCCCCCGGCCTCCTCTCCGGGTGGAAGCTCAGAGCTCTAGGGGCCCAAGGCCCGGAGGGCTGGCGGGGATGAGGTCGGGGTACACGAGGAAGCCGGAGAAGGTGATGTACTTGCCGTGGTTGCTGTAGGCTCCATAGCCATCGTGGTCGTGGCTGAGCAGCCACACGGCGTCGCCGCGCCGCAGTGCCAGCATCACACTCTGGCTCTGCATCTCGCGGCGGCGCGATGCTCCGTCGTCGTAAATCATGGCCTGCACTTCGTCGCGGTTCTTCATCAGCTTCACCGACAGCGTCTTGTGCGGCAGCTTGCCCATTGTGAAGGAGAAGAAGTAGGCGCCGGGCAGGCGGCAGCGGAACACGCCGGCTGCCGCGTCGAAGTCACCGCCAATGTTGACAAGCTCGGTGTCGAAGGCCAGCGGCCGGTGCCGCGGCCCCGGGCCCGCGTCGGAACCCACCAGGCTGCGCGTGCGCGCCGCCGAGAACGCCGAGCGCGGCTCGGAGGGCGCGGGCAGACCGCGCGCAGGCGCGTCGGCGTCGGCGTACACCAGGTAGCCGCTGAAGGTGGCGCCGGGCGCGCCCAGCGCGTATTGCGGGGCGCCATGCAGCCGCAGCCACACCGTGTCGCCGTAGTCGAGCTGCAGCATGGCGCTCTGGCTGGCGGCGCGCCGAGCGCCGGGCCGCCGCTGCTCGTCGAAGGCCAGCGCCTGCACCTCGTCGCGGTTGCGCACCAGCATCACCGACAGGCTTTTGTGCGGGGCCTTGCCGGCCGTGAAGGAGAAGAAGTAGGCGCCGGGCACGCGGCAGCGGAACTGCCCCTTGGCCGCATCGAAGTCGCCCCCGATGTTCACGTACACCTTGTCGAAGGTCACCGGCATCTCCGACGTGCCCTCCAGCGACGTGGTGCGTGCGGCGGAGAAGGCCGAGCGCAGCTCTGTGGAGCCTGGAGCTGGGCCCAGGGCCCAGCAGGCGGCCAGGCCCAGCAGGCCCAGCAGGAGCGGCAGCATGGCGTCTGGAAGGGGAGGCAGAAGGGGAAGGAGAGGAGGGTCGGGCAGGGGCTGCCTCCAAA